TTCTTGCTCCTCTGATGCTGCTTGGCCTGCTGTGTTCATTCAGCTCTACACCTTGTTATCTCAGATTCTCCAGCATAGGCAGTTCCTACTATCAATGCAATGAAACACTTTGTTTCACTTCAATTTCAAGATGCAAGCAGCACTCGGAGGGCTGTTATTCTACCGTATTGTACAGTAGACAGTCCAACCTCAGCCGTTGTGTTTGTGTGTGTGCGAGCGAGAGAATGAGAGATCAGCTCTGTCTAGAGTACCAAGCTCCATTAGTGCCTGAGCTCAACAATATGGAGTGACCTGTCAACTGTAGGTAGAGGGTGACAGGATAATGCTGGGGTCCACAGAATTAATCTCACACAAACAAAAAAAAAGAGATTAAAGAACGTATGTTTGATTTAATTTTTGTGAATAGCTGTGTTATACCAGTATAAATTGTTGACAAAATCAAAAAGAATGATTGGGTGGAGCATTTGGAATCAGAGGCATAATAATGATGCATATCTAAAGTTGGTAATCATATGATGCAGGTATGTGAAACTGTACCAGAATGCTCTCTTTGTTTGTGTCAATGTAAACTCATGTACATGTCCATGGGAAAGGGTTTCTTCATGTATAAGGCCTGGGGAGAATGTTTCTCTTGGCCCGAGGTCTACATTCAAAGCCTTGTTGAAGTTAAAGCTGCTGTTCCTAAGAATATAAAAAAATCAAGGGAAGAATCCAGTGCCTAAAGCCATCTCTGCCCTTTACCACAATTATAGGTGCCCCTCCACCTCAACTCCATTAGTTCTCGATTCACCAGCCAAGAGAAATTCCATCTTGACATTTTCTTTGTCAAACCCTCTCAGAATCCTCTATGTTTGAGTGTGATCACTCCTTATTTTTCTAAACCTCAGAAAGTACAGGCCCAATTTACTCAATCTCTATTCTTGAATAACTCTCTTAGCCCCAAAATCTAACTTGTTGGCCAAGCAATTTATAACCTTAGTTAAAAATGGAGACCAAAATTGCACACAGTACTGCAAACTGCAAACAATTACATCAAGACTTCAATCCCCTTTCAACAAAGGTGACTATGCCATGTGCCTTCTTAATTGCTAGTTGTAGCTGCATGTGGAATTATCTGCCACAGAAACTAGCTGGGATCAAAATATTGTATGTTTTCAAGGAGTTAGATATAGCTCTTAGGGCTAAAAGGTATGGGAAGAAAGAGGAAACAGGAAACTGAGTTGGGTGAATGGCAGAGAAATGAAACGGTAAGGAGAAATGGGGTGGGATAGAGGGCTATGAGGAGTAATGGAGGGTGATATGGAATGAGTAATGTGAATATTACTTGTCACTTGTCAGCACAATCCTTCAGGTCTTGCTACATTCTGAATGGTGCTGGACATTATGCAATTATCGGCGAACATCCCCACTTCTGACCTTATGATGGATTGAAGGTCATTGATGAAGCAGCTGAGGACACAACGTCCTGCACAAATGTCCTAGATCTGAGATGATTTACCTCTAAAAGCCATAACCATCTTCTTAGGTGCCGTGTATGATTCCGACCTGTGAAGCGGTTTCCTCCATTTCTCATTGACTCCAGTGTTGCTAGAGCTCCCTGATGTCACATTCAGTCAAATGGAATTTTGACTTCAAGGGCTGTCACTCTCACCTCACCTCTGGAATTCAGCTCTTTTGATGTGTTTGTACTAAGGCTGTAATGAGGTCAGGAGTTGAGTGGTTCTGGCAGAACCCAAACTGGTTGTCAGTGAGTAGATTATTCCTTTGGCAGTGCTGTTTAATAGCACTGCCACTGACCCCATTGATGATTGAGAGTAGAATGAGTTGATGGTTATTGCCATAATGGATTTCTCCTGCATTTGTGGGCAATTTTCCACATTGTCAGGTAAATGCCAGTAGTGTAACTGTACTGGAACAGCTTGGAACGGCAAATTCTCTTGTTGTCCTGGTAACTGTGCATAATAATGTTCCCTATTTTCCCTTATGCCTTGTGCAACATACCTGCTGGGTCACATGTCACTCCAAGTTGTTGCCATTTCCATTGCAAAGCCACTCTTTGGCAGTTCCATGGCTGATATTGGTAGAGAAGCTGAAGGAAAGGCAGTGATCCAGCTCAATGCCTTCCCCTATTCTGAAATACAATGCCTACATTCTCCACTTGTGTCTGTATGGCTGCCTCACCCTCCAGAGGCTCCTGGAACATTTGACGAGAGTTGTTCAAAATCCTGAGGAGTTTGGATAGAGTAAATTGGGAAAAATGCCTTGCACTGGCAGGAGGCTGGAGACAAGAGGAGAGAATGGTTTCAGATCATTGCCAAAAAGTGGAGAGAAGAAAACATTTCCAACAGTGAGTTATTGTGATGTGAGATGACAGGGATCTGGAAACAGATTCAATAATAATATTCAAAACAAAATTGGAAAAGTGCTGGAAGAGGACTATGGGGAATGGGAAGAGAGTGGAGTGGGACTGGCACGGGAACAATGGGCTGATTTGGCCTGACTCTGTCATTTGATTCGGTGCTCCCCGTAACCTATCTTTCTTTCCAACCTGTCACATTTTCAGGTGATGGTTAAACGTTGTTGACAGATATTGGTGCAGAATGTGGACTGTTTGGATCACCATCCTGTGGGTGTTCACCAGTGTTCAGACAGTGACCGGAGGGAGAGCGAGAAAACACAGAGGTAAGACCATGGGACTGGATGCCTTACTGTTGTCTAAGAAGGTTCAGTGACTACAGAGCAGGAGTCATGACCAGAGGTCAGTGTTCAGGGATCAGGGTCAGGATCAGAGGTCAGTGTTCAGGGATCAGGGTCAAGATCAGAGGTCAGTGTTTGGTAGCATAGGCCAGGACCAAAGGACAGTGTTCAGGAAGCGTGGGTCAGGATCAGAGGTCAGGATTCAGAGGTAGGGGATAGGATCAGAGTTTAGGGTTCAGGGTTCAGAATCAAAGGTCAGTGTTCAGTGAACAGGAGTCAGAATCAGAGGTCAGTGTTCAGAGGGTAAGGGTCAGGATCAGAAGTCAATGTTCAGGGGCAGAGATCATGATCAGAGGTCATTGTTCAGGAAGTGGTGGGGTCAGGATCAGAGGTTAGTGTTCAGGGGGTAGGGCAAAGGTCAGGGGATAGGGGATCAGGATCGAAGGTCAGTGTTCAGCGGGTAGAGCCAGGATCAGGGATTAGGATCACAGGTCAGTGTTCAAGGAGCAGGGGTCAGGATCAGAGGTCAGTGTTCAAGGAACAGGGGTCAGGATCAGAGGTCAGTATTCAGGCCACAAGGTCATGATCAGAGGTCAATGTTCGGGGGTAGGGTCAGGATCAGGTGTCGGTGTCCAGGTTGGAGTAGTCAACCCTCTTTAATTTTAGAATATCTCCAGCAAATGCCTCTTCCCCTGACATCTGCTGTTTCCAGACCATGTTGATGTCTGCAAGGATATAGTTCCAAGGCACACACTTCATATGGAGGCCTGGGTACCTGATGCTTTGCAGGATATTCAACCAAAAGGGCATTACTGGTCATATTTTCCCAACATTTCAAGATTATTTAATTGACAGAGAAGTGTTTGTGATGTCCTGGATTTGTGAACGCTGGTATATAAATGTGAGTTCTTTCCATATATAAATATAGACTGTTGCAGTTACAGCTTTTGGAGTCACTTACAAAACATTTTTTCTCTAGATACTCCATGCCCTCGTGTACATGGTGATGGATGGAAGTTACAGAACCAGGAGCACTATGTTAACATTTCAGGTACAGTACCACACTTCACTATCACTCCTTAATCTCCAGGCAGGCCTCAATCCCATCTGAACCTTCCTGAATGCCCATTAGTTTGAATTCTGGAACCACAGAATCACATGAGAGCATGAGTAGGCAGTTGGCACCGTTAACAATTAAATCTTTGATTTCAATCTATGCACCTGTCTTTTAGAAATAATTCTTTACTGGCTAACATCTGTCTTTGATGCTCTTGATCCTGTTAAAAGCACTCCTCCTTTCTGTAGTGCCCCTTTACATTGCTAGCCACAAATGAATATGTTCAATGACCAACTACCAAAGTGACCAGCAGCAAAAGTTAATCTTCCGATCTGTCAAACCAGGTTTAACTCTGGGATCTGACTGGTCCAGTATTACCATCAGCTGATATTATAACAGTAGGAATTTATAGAGTCCTGAGGTCCAAGTAGTTACCATTTATTAAAACTCTGTTTCTCTTTCCTCACAGGTTTTAATTTGCTCAGGAGGTTCTCCCTTTTTAAGACACCAGCAGTGAAAAAAGTCCGAAGTCCAACAGGATCTTTAATTGTGAAGTTGGGAAGTTTATCACTCATCAGACCCACTGAGTAAGTCTCCACTTGTGTATGATTGAATCCCAGAGGATTAATAACAGGGTTATATGAGTGTGGCATTGAGGAAAGGACCTAATGGGGTTTGCAGTATGGAGTAACACAGTCTCCTTGAAATAAACCTTGATTATTAGGGGAATTTCTCCTGCATGGTTGAAGGCCTGGGCAGTGTGTTTCTCTCCTGATCATCTGCAGTGCTAGTGATGTAAGGACTGCAGCAATCTAACATCCTATTGGAGCAGCTTCCCCCAGAACCTCTAGGAACCACACTATGACCAAGCATTGCACAGAATTGTGACAGGTGTTCAGGGACAGCCCAGGGGTCCCCTAGACCCCAGGTAGCTCCACAAACCCCTGAGGACAATCAGTCCCATGACCCCTTTGACATCAGTGGGGTCAGCAAAGGAGGTTTGGGATCAGCATATCCTAGTGCTTAAGTCAAGAGAAACCAACCAGTGCTTATATCTATGAACTCTAGCACTGCATTCAATGTATTTGTACAAATGCCTGAAGACTTGTAAGGAGAAACCAGAGAACTATTGACCTGTGAGTTCGACTTCTGTTGTAGGTAAATTTTTGGAGGTGATTATAAAAGATAGGACATTTAGAGAGGTAAAAAATGATTAGGGGTAGTCAGCATAGATTTGTGCGAGGAAAATCATGCCTCACAAACTTGATTGTGTTTTTGAGGAAGTTACGAAAGAGATTAATGATGGCAGAGCAATAGACATTGTTTATTTGGATTTTAGTAAAGCCTTTAACACGATTTCACATGGTAAACTAATTAGTAAAGTTAGGTCACATGGGATTCAGGCTGAGCTTGTCAATTGGATACATAATTGGCTTAGCGGCAGGAGACAGAGATTGGGGTGGAGGGTCACTTTTCAGACTGGAGGCCTGTGACCAGCGGTGTTCCGCAGGGATCAGTTCTGGGTCCTCTTTTGTTTGTCATTTATATAAACAATTTGCATGAGAATATAGAAGGCATGGTTAGTAATTTTGTGGACGACACCAAAATTGGTAGCAGAGTAGACAGCGAAGAAGGTTTTCTAAGATTATAAAGGGATCTTGATCTTGAAAAATGGCAGATGGTGTTCAACCTGGATAAATGCAAGGCATTGCATTTTGGTACTACAAACAAGGGTAGGGCTTATACAATTAATGGTAGGGCCTTGGGTAGTGTTGTAGAACAGAGGGACCTAGGGTTGCAGGTACATAATTCTTTAAAGTTTGCATCACAAATAGGCAGGGTGGTTAAAAAGGCGTTTGGCACATTTGCCTTCATTGCTCATAGAACATAGAACGTAGAACATTACAGTGCAGTACAGACCCTTCGGCCCTCGATGTTGCGCCGACTTGTGAAACCAATCTGAAGCCCATCTAACCTAAACTATTCCATTATCATCTGTATGTTTATCCAATGACCATTTAAATGCCCTTAAAGTTGGCGAGTCTACTACTTTTGCAGACAGGGCATTCCACGCCCTTACTACTCTCTGAGTATACTCTCTCAGTCCTTTGAATATAAGAGTTGGGATGTTATGTCGAGGTTGTACAGGACGTTGGTGAGGCCTCTTCTAGAATATTGTGTCCAGTTCCACTTATAGGAAGGATGTTATCAAGCTGGAGAGGGTTCAGAAGAGATTTACCAGGATGTTGCCGAGTATGGAAGGTCTGAGATATAAAGAAAGGCTGGACAGGCTGGGATTTTTTTCACTGGAGTGTAGGAAGTTGAGACCTGTTAGAAGTTAATAAAATAATGAGAGGTATAGATAGAGTTAATGGCAGTAATCCTTTCCCTAAGGTGGGGGATTTCAAGACTAGGCGGCACATTTTTAAGGTGAGAGGAGAGAATGTTAAAAAAGTCAGGAGGCAAATCTTTTACACAGGAGGGGTTCATGTGTGGAATGAACTTCCTGAGGACGTGGTGGATGCAGGTACAATTACAGTGTTTAAAGGATGTTTAGATAAGTACATGAATAGGAAATGTTTGGAGGGATATGGGTCAGGAGCAGGCCGGTGGGACTAATTTAGTTTGGGATTATGTTTGGCATGAACTGCTAGACCAAAGCATTTGTTTCTGTGCTGAATGACTCTGACTTCATGCTAATGGGGTCTGTATAATCTGGTATTTGAAAACAGTTGCCTTTCTCACTGAGTTTTACAGTGGAGACTGTCCATGGGAGACAGATCAACTTGCTGAACAATTTTTAAGAATATCAGGTTGCAGATTATCATGGTTCTAGTGAAGATATTTGACTTTCTTGCAATGCTTGATTAATTATCTAATAGCATTTCACACAAACCTCTGAATCTTTTGTACTGTTTGAAATTGTGTAGTTGTACCTATATGTGTATCCTTTCATTCTCCTGTATCTGAGAAGGTCCCCCTCTTATTTGACAATGTATGATTCTACTCTCACTCTCTTACATCTGGAGAGACCCCTCTAAACCTTCAGAGACTCTTGCGATGAAGAGGAACTGTGAAATTCTCCTTTATTTCGCTCATGCAAAAGAACTGGATATTTCTCATCTTTACGCAGCACTGCAAAAGGAAACAGATTATTTCATCCTGAATTCCTGTTGCTTCTTAAATGCTGGTGAAATGATATCTGTATTATTGCCTTGTTCACTGCTTTCAGTTTTAGCATTGTTTCGTAGCTTATGAAGTAAATGACCTGCTAATTTCATAACCTGTAATAAATCTGACTAAATAGCTTAGCCTGAATTACATTGGAATTTTCCACTTGGTAGAAGAGAATGGAGAATGTTGTGTATTACAATGCTGTGCATTTTGTGTTAAATGTATAAATGCTCATCTGAGCATGTTACTTTTTATACAGCATACACAAGGATTGTGCTTTGGTTCACAGTAAACTCAGTTTGTAAAGAAAACATAAACACATTAATGTTGTAGTGACGCAACAGCAGTAAATTGCAAAGGAGGCCATTCAGTCCACTGAGTTCATGCCAGCTCTCTGCAGAGTAATCCAGTTAGAGCTGTTGCTCTGCTCAAACCCTGTGGCCCAACAAGTTATTTTCCCTCAAGAGTCTATCCAATTTCTATTTCGAATATAGATTATCTCCAGGCAAAGAGGCAGAGGGTTGTGGTAACGTTTGCTGCAGAAAATCGTTCTTTCTCGCAGCCACTTTGCATTTCTTGTTTAAAATCTTAAATGTGTGTGCACTCCTCCTTGTTTCAACAGCTAATGGGGTCAGTGTGCCTTGCTCACCCTTTCTGTAATGTTAGAATGAAGGAGGTGAACCTTTGGAATTCTCTGTCTCAGAGGGTCGTAGATTCTGCATTGCTGAATTTGTAACAGGCTAGCTTTGACAATTGTTTTGTCTCTCAGGGCATCTGGAGATGTGTGGAGTGGGTGAGAATGTGGAGTTGAAGGCCAAAATAGCTGTGATCACAATCATTCCCTCTGAGCTGGACGGCAGGATTCTCACAAGTGTGCTCGGGAGAACTTTCTCGACCTTAAGTTCTTGGTTCAGTTTGAAGGAGGGATTGCTAGATCTTGTGCTGGGGAGTGTCTATGGGGGATCACTTGGATAAAAATGATCATCGTATCATAGGGTTGATATCAGCAATGAAAAAGAGCAAGGAGCAGTACTCGGTGAAGCCATTCATTTCAGTGGAATGAGAAAGGATTTAGTTGAGGACAGTGGAAACAAATATGACAGAAAGTACAGAGCTGAAACATCAGGTGACGGTTAAGGAGAAGATGTTCCAGGTGCGGACCAGGTTCATTCCATCACGGGTGAAAGGTATGGGAAAAAAGGCCAGGGCATTACTTCAATGATGAGAGAAAATACGATGAAACAAATAAAAGGATGTAAGATGCATGTTAGAACCAGAATTATTCATGTCAGAATCAAATAATGCAGCTCCTGACTTCCCAAAGCCAGTTCACCATCCACAAGGCACAAGTTAGGAATGTGATGGAATACTCTCTACTTACTCTGGATGGGTGCGGCTGCAAGAAACCTCAAGACACTCAACACTATCCAGGACAAAACAGTCCGTACGATTGGCACCACATCCACTATCTGAAACATTCACTGCCTTCATTACCAATGCACACTGGCAGCAGTGTGTACCATCTACAAGATGCACTGCATCCAACGGCATCTTTTATAGCCATGACCAATATCACCTTGAAGGACGAGGGCAGTGGATACATGGGAACACCACCACCTGTAAGTTCCCTTCCAAGCCACTCATCATCCTGACTCGAAAATATGTTAGTGTTCCTTCAGTGTCACTTTGTAAGGTCCTGATAGTCTCTCCCTAACAGCTCTGTGGTGCTTCCTACACCCCATGACTGCAACAGTTCAAGAAGGCAGCTCACCATCACCTTCTCCAGGACAACTGGGATGAACAATAAATGCTGGCCTAGTGAGGCAATGGATGGAAAGCTAAGGCCGATGGACCAGATCCAACCTTTGGGAGCTTTACAACTTGCCCTCAAGCTGCATAGCTTTGTGCATATTATCTAAGATTATTGAAATTGGTCAAGATAAAATCCCATTATCTATGTCAATGTTGATCTCAGTTTGGAAATAACATACTTACCTAAAGTTTCCTAGTCTTCAAATTTACCAGGCATACAGTCTGTAATGCCAAGATAGAGCGCTTCACAATGGCTCACATTGGATGCTGCATATATGGTATTGTTTATGTATCTCACAAGCAAAATAATCTTGAAAAACTGCA